AAACCATGCCTGGAATCACCGATATGTCCCACCGGAGAAGCGCAGCAGCAACCATATTGCCAATCGGTATCTTACAGACAAGGTGGAAGAAAGTGTTGGAAGTGAATAGTGTAGTGCTCATTTTAAAACAGTTAAAAACACTTTAGCTGTTATGTTCTCACAAGCAGGGTATGGCACCTAACCCATCCAGTCTCTTGTTGCTTATTGAATTTAGAACCACATTATTTTTGCTAATGCTCCTAATCAATAGAGTGCGTTATTTAACATGAATGTTGATGAGTGTAAACCTCGTTTAAAGTTACTGTAACGCAGCGGGTTTGGCGAAGATGGACATAGGAAGTTCGGCTCTTAACTGAGAACATGGTGCTTTATTAATTGACGTTCGTCCGGCAAAGCAACCACAACAGAGGGAGAGGGAGAGAGAAACAAAAGTCTACGAAACACTGGGGTCAATTCGGGTACAGTTATACAGGGATAGGGTGGTAATCGGGGGCATGTATAAAAGGGTTGCAAAATCAGGGAAACTACATAAGTCTGGGCGATCTCGCGACTGTGTACACTTGTTCTACAATTGGTCAGCTGCACTGGCCAGTGGCTCTCCTAGTCTGTGCCCTGGCCATTACTGCTCCCGTTCTGCCCCTCGCCATCCACGCCAGCCGGGCGCTCTTCGGCCTCAATGCTAGGCGAGGGCGCTACATTACTTTTGACTCATTAATCTGTTAAAAGATCCGAACTTCACTTGCCCTTTAGTTACACTGTCTAGATTTTGTAGTGTCTAAATTTACAACTAGTCTAGACTTTATCGTAACCTAAAAAGTTATTTTTTAACACATATTATGCAAAATTATTAAACCCCTAACAGCAACCGAATGCACAGAGAAGCAGAATTATCTGTACAAACGCAGCTTCTTTAAAAAAAAAACACAAAGGCCTCATCTTTTTTGTCGAGTATCTTGCAGGTTTGGTCGTGGTGCTGATGATTCGCCAGTAGAGGGCTTAGGGAGCAACATCTTAAAACAAGATTTCATTGTCATTTTCTAAGAATGAAACGTTCTGTTCGTTCTCACCTTTTCAGAATATTATTCCAAAAACCTTTTTCAGAATGCTACAAATTTTGTAATGTGTGTAATGTTATTGGTGGAATACCAACATTAGTTCACTTGCCAAATCATTGACCAGAAATAGATTTCTTAGGTCCTAAAAACATAAGAAATAATAATTTAGGACAAAACATGGTTGATACTTGTGTATTTTCGAAAGCCACCAAGATTTTATTATTTTTTATATTGATGTGGTGACTGGATAGAGTGCAAAAACACAAGTGTATTATATTACTGGAATAAAATCTCAGTAAAATAGGGTGAGTTATCATGTTGCGCATCTCGATTGAATCTAGCTGGTGTCTTCTGTTTAGGTGATGATGTGCATTCCAAGCTGTGTGCACCCATGGTCGTAGTCACACAGAGTTGGAGTATCTGGACAAGTTATCAGAGAGACCTCCATTTAAAATCTAAAATATTAATTTGCTTAATTTAAAAAAACAGGAAAAAAGAAACAGCCATCTGGGGGCATTGCAATGTGTGGTTTGCAGGATGATTGGCTTTCTGGATGGGAACAGCCAGATGGGAGAGTTCACTTGTGAACACTTTCTTTTGAGCATCTCAAACTCCAAGATATCTTGACTTGAGCTTACTAACTAGTTTACTAACACCTAAACACAGGATTAGCAGAATTGCAAGAAGTAGGCAAGAGGCCTTAGAGGGAGATTATGCACACACCATGGACAGGGGTGCAGGAGGCTTCAGACCAGAGAGGCCGGAAGAGCTTACTAACACTTGAGTTAGTGGTAGTGGGGGACTCAATAACTGGAGATTTAGGCAATGTTATATGCACAAGCAATGGATAGTTTTGTATTGTGTAGCCTCTGCCTAGTGTCCAGCTTGCAGACCTCCATGAGCAAATGGGCAGGATCCAAGCTAGGGTGGATCAACTTGTCAGGGTCCATGTAGTAACAAATGAAATTATAAAAGGAGAGGTTAACAGTTCTGAAAGACTTCTTTAAGCAGCAGATTGTCTACAAATGAATATATAGTTTCTTCAGGAATATTTTGAGTGTCATATACAAGCCAAGTTAAGCAAAGAGAAATAAGGAGATTTAACACATGGGCAGAAGATTGGTGCAGGTAAGAGGTGTTTAGGGTTATGGAGTATTTGGGGCCCTGGAACAAATGGGACCTGTTCTAATGTACAGGCAGAACGGGTTGCACTTGAAGCAGAGGAACACCAAAGTGTTGAAGAACCTTATGTTTAGAGTGGTTGAGCAATGGCACTGGCTAATGGGGTCAGAAAAGGCCTGGGCCACTAAGAAAAAAATTAAGAGATAACAAACTCATTCTTAATGCTAGAAGTATAACAAATACAAATGCAAAAACACAAGGCTACTGCATTAACAGAAAACTGTGACATTATAAGAAACACTAGAACATGGCTGGGGATTAATAATGGGGAAAAATATCAAAGTATTAGGTACACATTTTCAGCAAGACACACAGGATAGAAGGATTTATGCTGTGGGAATATATATCTGAAACAATATGTAACCTAGAGGTGTGAGGTAAGAGGGAGAAAGCAGAGCACAATCTATATGGATGAAGCTATTAAATAGAAATTCTAAGAGCTAAACACCAGGTATAAGCTGTAGACAGTCTAATGCAGACAGGGGTCAAAATAACTTACTGTATGGTGATATCAGGAAGGCATGTGGCATTTTATATTATACTTTTACACTCATCTTTTCAAATATCCAGGATCTAATTCAGGAAATAGACGCAGTAAAACCACGGCTTATTGTGACAATAATATGAAATCATTTGCTGTGTAATTTATATATCTAAACAATGAGTCTACATTTAATATATAGAATAAGAATTCTGGTAAAGTAGACTAGAAAGAAACGAGGCAGAGATTACAAGTGGTGAAATGAGAGTGGGTGAATACAAAGTCAACAGAACAGGACAGTCATGCTTCAGAAATGTAATGTTTAAGGCTCAAAACAAGTTAATCCCTAAAACAGTTACAGTGCTCATGAACAGTTAGTGAATCCCCTAGGCTAGTCTGTATTCCTGTATATTTTAGACCATTATTCAGATCTTTATTGAAAGTCGTCATAAAAGCTATGCATACATAAACCATAAAAGCATAAAACCATGATATTCCCACCATCACAGTCCTGATCCTTCTTTTGGAAGACACTGTGTAGATACTATGTTGTCCCAAGAAAAAGTTTCAAGTTTAACAGAAAGCGCCCGAATGATCCACAAGACTACTGGAAGAGTATTCTATGTACAGATGAGACCAAAATGAGAAAAAGTTTGTGTGGAGTTCACAAAACAGCTGATTAATAATAGTAGATGACAACCAAGTAGTAAACATTCTAAAGTAATATTCAATGCAGGTTTTTACCAGACAATTTCAATTACATACGCTGTACTGCTGGTGCTTATTCTATAACATTGTAATTTTAGAATAATTTTCACTGAGGTTCTGCAAGAGAGATTGACTGACTAAAAATAATAATTAATTAGTATTTTTTATGTCATAGTAAAGAAAACAGGATTTTATTCCTGGATTCCTACCCAAGATACTCCAGATCTTGGTTGAAGAGTGACAGCTTTACCTGTGGACTGGAGAATTACAAATATTAAAAAGGGCAAAAAATTAAACAAGAAGCATAAAAGACCAATCAATCAAGGTTACTTATGTTACCTTCTTATGCAGCTATGAAGACAACCTTTTTAAGATGCAGCCTACATTATTTTAGTAAGGGAAGGTCTTTTTTAAGTTTTTAGAATTCTTCAAACAAGCAAGATATTAGATTACGCTAGGTTACATGATGTATAATTTTTTTGTATTTCCAATAAGCTTTTGATATGGTATTGTATGCACATGGACCGGGAATTTGTTAATGAACCGGAACAGCACATAATCTTATAAGGCACAACATCTAATTGTAAATAAACTATGATGTACCATAGGGGTCTGTTTTCAGCCATTTTCACTTCCTGATCTACTATATGCTTATGTTTTAGATTGTAATAAAGATAGCAAACTAGTTTTGCAGCATGGCAAAAACAGCAGAAAAGGAATGGCAAAACACGTAGGCACAATCATGATTAAACCCTTGGCTAGTGAAATTTAACATTGAAGTAATAGAGATTGTGGGAACTAACTGTTGAAGGCAAGTCCCAGAATATGTTATTAGGCAAACACCAGGAGGACAAAAAACAAGAAAATGCGGCACCAGAAACATTTCCAAATATTTGATTGTCTTAGCTGCTATGTAAAAAGCTTAAAAGAATAACAACAAGGTTAATTTTTATCACTTCAAGAACAGATACAAAAACTATTTAAAGTTTTAGTGCATTAACACCAAGAGTTGGGGGTATCTGGAGCAAGTCACCCAAGCATATTGTTGAAGCTGATTCAAACAACAGCTGATTTCCTTCAGATCCTCCGGCCAATAGGCAAATAGCTTTCAAATAAGCAGGATGAGGAGAATGACCTCGATTTGTCTGTGATCTTTCTGAGGGTGGAAAAAAAAACATGGACAACAGATTAGACATTCATTATTATTTTTAAATTATATATTTCTTTCAATTAGCAGCATGTGGGAATGACAAAAGTAATTATAAATTACATACTGAAGACTGTATAGGCAATAACCAATGACGACTCTAAGTGATATTCCTAATCGAGATGCGGTCTTCTCTGAATCCGAGCATCATCGCATCTTTAAGTACTCGTTATCGGTTACTTTATGAACCATTTCAAGAAATAACAATATGTATCGCGGGTTAATAGAAACCTGCTTAAACACGATGCCGATACAGCATTCTTCCGTGAACCAAAAATGGTACTTTTCGATTTTTATGGTATTCTGCAAACACGATCTGAGATGGTTATATAACGCTTGGACTGCGTTTTAGGTTGTTTTGCAATACATAAACACGACGTGAATGTAATTTCATTCAGCAGTCTAAAATGTAAACTGATTTCAACACTTGCCTTGTTGTGCAATGTACTCTCTTTGTCTATGTGCTCTCTTAGCGAGCAATGCTGTTAGCACTACCTCTTTTCGACGCTGTGTGTACAGAGAGCGACGGGTGCGTGCTCACATCCAGCACATGACTCTACCTCAATTCGATTTTATCCTCCACAGTGTTCTTTGGAAAATTTCAGTGTAGTATAACATTTTATTATCGAAGCCTGTACGTTCAGGACACACCCGATATCGATCAGGCTTCCAGATTCACGTTTTGTGTTTCAAAACGATGATCCACATCTATTGTGTCCAATTCTATTGACCATCTATCAGCCAGCCTTACTACAGAAATCAAAGAAGACGGGAACTGCAACAACACACCTCCCGATTTCTTTCGAAGCACCGTCTCCACTAACTGTTGCGTTATTATTTGCACTTTTTAAATGAATCTGGTAAGGTAAGTGTTGCATTTTCTTGTGTAGTTCAGGGATACTGAAGGGATGAAGCGCCGTTAATTTCGGCATTTGTGTTCCTCTCGGTAGCTTTGCTATTAAAAAAATACTTTTATTAAACAATGTATCAATACGTACGGAAAATTAATTAACAAAATCGATGTATATATAGTGTAATGCGAAACAAATCTAATTTGGATGTTTGTATCGCATTATAAAAATATGAAAAGAGGTCTCAGAAATACAATTCTTAAATTTGGCTAGTTTTATTTTGTTACATTTGTAGCTGCACAATGCTAGCGCTTGAAACGATTATGAGGTGTTGCCCATATGAAGCAAAAAAGCTTTTCTGTGAGTGGACAGACCTTAATTTCAATGAATACTTAAGCGATTGGGGAGGGGATTTTACACGGTATTGTAACTGCCTTGCATATTCATATGCAGTTACAGAAAAGAGCTTTTCAGTCTTCCAGTACGAAGTTGTCTTAAGTAAGCATCGCCTTTTAGCTAGTATTTATTTTATTATTATAGAGATCTGCGACGAATGAGCTGGAAGTTGTACTTCCAGTATCATCATTCTTCTTCAACAGTGTAAATATGTATAGGAGCTGGGAACAGAGCAAAGCGTTTTAACTGTCCGTATGGACCATTTCCACATCCGTTTGAAAATGTATGAATTGGAACGCGTACAGTATGGATTTTAAGAAGACCAAATATGCAAGGTAATATTAAATCACGCCTGTTAAAAAACCCCCACATACCTGTAGATTATAAAGTTTTAAGTACTTTGCCAAAAAAAAGTAAGAGTATGATAGGACGGTGATCTTAATTATTAACACTTTCAACCGGTTATAGATATTCGCATTAGTGGTATTAAGAAGTACCCGGTTCTCCTAAGTCAATTTCTACTTTTCTTGTGGTGGACAGTCTGTAGTTCATGAAGATGATTATTGTAGGAATAGGGAGAGATCTGTTCTTTGTAAGCGCCGTGTTATCCTTTTGGTACCTGTGAATCTATAGAAAATTGAAATATTTTGCATTTTGCAGTAAATTTGTGCAGTAATTTAAATGCGTTCCAGTGATATTATGGGCACAATCCATTTATCTCTCTTTGCTGTTGTTGCCCACAATTTGAATTTTGCTTAGTGAACGTCTATGCGTGTTAGAGCTTTTAAAAATAATTTGACTGTGTTTCACTATGCATTCCACAGTAACTCTTAAGTGGAATACATGTACTACTCTTTGGCCTCTCAAACGGTTTAGCTGCTAAAATAACATTGTAAGGCAAATTAATGCTCACAGTACTTTTTATTTATAATAGGACAATGGAAATACAGTGCAGTGTTTTTCCTGCTTGTTCTTTACAAGCCGTTGTCTGGGCAATAGATTACAATGGGTTTTTTTTTTCAGGTAGCGTCTTGAGTGTCTCATTCTGCACCTGAATGTAAAAACAGTTTTTGGACAGTCCTAGTATCTGTCTACATAACAGGTAAAATGTTTGCCTGGTCTTTCAGGAATTGCAAGCAACATACTGCAAATCTGAGACTTCTCTAAAATGAAAACAGCAAAGCCTGTCAGTTGCAGGACATTTTGTTATTCTCAAAAAGTAAAAGACTTTGTCTGCTATTAGTTACATGGAGCTGTAGAAATGTTGTGAGTGTTCAAGTCTTTGTTACTCAAATAATACTCCTTTAATTCTGAAATGCTATCAAATTGAGTACTTTGTGAATTATGCATCACAGCTGATTATAATGTTAAAGATTGTGCCACTTGCAGTGCTAAATTTGAAAAGATAACTTCAAATTCAAGGACAAATCAGGAAGTCTCTTTTGGTGCTACCTGTAGGTGTGAAATGCTTTCTGGGCAGCTGGCCAAAATGACAATATAACACTGTACCTGTTTGTATTCACAGTGAGAGCAACCTATACTTTCGCTTGAAACAGAGCACATTGTTGAGTTATAGCGATGCTTTTGCTGAGGTTGCTAAAACATGTCCAAATCCTAACAAAACAGACTGTGATCGTGGTGCTTGAAAGAGATTAATGTTTTATATTTCCTGTAGCAGAGTTTAAACAATTGTAAGCTACATTTTATTTTATTTTTATTTTTTGCTACTATCAATTGTATTAAAGTAGAATTATTTTATAGATTTTACTTCCCAGTATAAGTTAAAATGTAAAGAAATACATTGATGGACAAACCATAAAACATTAGAGAGAGAGGCAGCCTACAATGACAATCCTGCCCTCCCACACTGCCTTAAGCCTCTTTACAGGGTTTAATTTTGGAAAGGAAAACAGCTACTCATTTTCTTTTTGATGGAAACTATCTCAAACCAAACAGGAACTAAAAAGATGATGGGGGAACAGGAATTTTGATTGAATGCTATGCTAGAGAGCAAAATTTAAATTAACTGAACGTTTCATGGCTAACTGGAAGGATAGTGTCGTCATTGCCCTCTCTTCATGTACATTTTGGAAACTTAAAATTAATGGCCCTCGTGCCCAACCAGAAAGATGGGAAGTTGACCACAGGAGAGCAGTTCATCATCATAATGAATAACAGATTCCTAGAGACTGTTTCATGTATTTTTTTAGAGCTTCTCTTGCATTGGTGACACACACAGCAAGTGGAGACTAAAATCCATTTAAACCACAATGTTCCAGGGCTCTTCTTCTATTATAGTGGCATGGATGCCTTTGCACGGATGGTCGAGCTTTGTGACTAGGAAGAGAGCAGCATAATTATAGTCCATGGGGCAAACACATGGTGTCTACTTTCTGGGGATATCACATTACATGTCAGAAGTTTAAAACAGATGAAATATTAAAGGTAGAACTTTATCAAATATGGCAGTGCTGCAACAGTTACTGAACGGGTATAGGAAGAGAGGTTTGCTAGTTGCCTTGTTTTAAATCGGGTAACTTTTAAATCAAATGGGGAGGCTTGATGGAAAATAGGAAGAAAGGTGTCCAGTGGGTTACAGTTTCACTGTGTCTGTGGCAGAGTTTTGTCTGGGGATGAGTTCAAAGATAAAGACATCCCTTTGTACTTTATAAAAAGTAATATATAAATAGAAATGTCTTCACTACGTATAGAAATATAAGAGGTGATAAGGTTTTTAAAGGGTTTTAATTTTTAAAATTGGCTAGAAAATGCAGCACTTAACGCAGGATAGCTAGACTATTACTACAAATATGCAATATTTCTTCCATCCATCCAATTCAGGGTTGCAAAGGATCCGGAGCCCATCCCGGAAAGCAATGGGCGCAATGCAGGGTACACCCTGGATGGAACGCCAGTCCATTAAAGGGCAGACATGGACACAGACACACACTCACACCAGGGCCAATTTTCCCAGAAGCCATTTAACCTACCATTGTGCTGTTGGACTGTGAGAGGAAACTGGAGGAATCCCACGTGAACATAGGGAGAACATGCAAACTCCACACAGATAGCACTCCAGGTCTGGAGTTGAACCCAGGATCCCCTGCACTGCAAGGCAGCAATGCTGACCACTGGATCACCATGCCATAGTCTTTATGTTTGGATTTTTTCCCCCTTTTTTTCAACAGAATGTACCCACTCAGTGAATACAATTATTCTTTATTCTTTGCTTTTCATTCATTTGGCACCATAGAAATTTGTGATGAGGGGGCAAACCAGGAGAACAACTCAGAGTTATTTTTATCTGTTTTGCACTAGAACAGTATCTCAGGTTCGGCCCAGAGGTGTTACAACAGTTTTAGGAACTAATCTTCTCACTCTATAGTGTATTGTGATGCAGTAAACTGTCATAGTAAAAATGTTAAAGTTATGACAAATAACTAAAGAAACTAAGAGATTGTTTTATGTACACACTGGGGAAATAAATATCTCACATATTTTGCACTCAATAAGTGTCCTTTATTAAGAAGCACAGTTGTGTGGTGATCTTCTACTTAAAGTGAAGTATTTTATGAACAACTAATTTTGCAAATGGTGAACCCTTGTAAAAAAGGATTTTATATAGTGGAAAAAGTAGCCTTTTAGCTATATGAAAGTGTAGAGAAGAATACATGGCATTAATAATCAGGGACAACTGACCCTGAGCCAGTTTGATTTGATTGGTAAATGCTATGGATTTTCTACTACAGCACTTCAGATTGTTTGCTCATAAAGTTTCTACTGACATGATGTTCTGATCATGTCTTTGAAGATGCTTTTCATGTGAATGTGAATGTGAATTAAAGATTGCTAAATGACAGGATAGGTTTCTTCTCACTCAAACTAAGCTGTGTTATATAAGTGAAAGATGTTATACTAGAAGAAAACTCTACTAGAGGCTTTGACTAAATTGTTGATGTCCATAAACATATATATATATAGATTCTAGCTCATAATTAATGAGGATAGTTAAAATGTTTGTACTTAGCAGTGTACAAATTAATTATAAATAATTAAATAAAGGTGATTGATTAATGAGAAAAACAGTATAGTCAGTGCCTTCAGAATTAAAATGTAATAGCAAGAAGAGGTGACAATATTCTTTAAATTTTATATAAGTCTGAATAGTAAGGTTTTACAGTGTTACATATGCATTACACAGCTGCCTCTTTCAGTGTGCTAGCAGTTGTAAAACATAGGCCTGTGCACGCTTACAAAATTGTAATGAGCTTTAATGACTTGAGAATGTGTTCACGTGCTAAAACATTGTATGAAAATGAAATCAAACTAATTATAAGATGATGCGTTCTTTGGATATAACAGTCAGGAGTATAAGAAGCCTTGAGTAGAAAAGTGGGAGACAGACAGAGAGTTCAGCAGGGGCCAGCTCTTGCTTCCTCTCAGACAAACAGTGCTTTGTTTTTGTAACCAAAGAGACGTTCTCACCCAGCCTGACAATAGGGTGAGCATGTGAAAGTATTTCAAACAGAAGGCCTGTGATGTAACTTCCCTGGATGCTGTCAGGAGCAGTCAGCCAGATTAAAACAATGTTTGCCTTTAGAGTATTTTGCCTCTGCTG